TCATCCAGGACCCCAGTGCCCCCACCATCCCCCGCCATCACCAGGGCTCCCCAGAGTCCCCACCGCCCCATCGCCTGACAGGGCCCCATCCCCTCCAGGACTTCTGGAACCCACGTGGCCCACCTCCAAGAGCCTCCTCCTCCCCTCCTGCACTAGGGCTCCCTCCAGAGCTCATGCCACCCCACCCCTGCCGGGGCTCCCAGAGCCCCACCGCCCCGCTCCCCCACCAGGGCCTCCCAGGCCTCCACTGCCCACCCCCAGGACCCCAGAACCCTTCCATCCCCCCAGCCTCACCCTCGCCCGGACCCCAGAGCCCCTGCCATTCCGCTCACCCTCTCGGGACCCCAGAGCCCATACTGCCTCGAAGCTGCACTTGCCACCCTCAGTCCTGCCCGGCCTCGGCTGGCCCCCGACTGGGGCAGGCGCGGGACGGCTGAGGGGCCCTGAGCCTGTCCTCCTGCAGGACCTGTGGCTGCCCTACTTTGCCGTCACCACCGACATCACCGCCTCTGCCATGCGGGTCCACACGGATGGTGAGTGCCGCAGCTGAGGCACGGGCGGGGGGGGAAGCCCGGAGGCCAGAAGGCACTGGGTCCGCAGAGGACAGGAGTGGGCAATCTGGGAAGACCTGGCACCGTGGGATGTGCTGAGACCCCAGAGAAGGGCCTCAGAACCCCTGCCCTCTGGAGGAAGCCGGCGTGGCGTGTGCCAGCCGACCCCCGGGGCAGGCGGCGCCTCTGGGCAACAGCAGGCCCCTGATACCCCCAGGCTCCCTGTGGCGCTACGTGCGTGCCAGCATGTCCCTGTCGGGCTACATGCCCCCTCTCTGCGACCCCAGGGACGGACACCTGCTGATGGATGGGGGCTACATCAACAACCTCCCAGGTATGCCCTGGGTGTGGGGGAGCATCCGCTGGCACCAGCACCGGCCGTGTCGGTCACGCCGCCCGCGGCCCTGCCGCAGCAGCCTCCGCTCTGAGAAGGCTGGGGTGGGACACGCTTCCCCTAGCGTGTGCCAAAAGAAAATGTCAGGCTGTCATCCGAGAACATGCACACGCATGTACACACACGCACAGGCACAGGCACTGGCACCACGTGCTCCCAGCATATGGCCCGGCTTGTTAGCTCAGCGGCGTGCAGGACAAAGGCCAAACAGAACCAGACGCAATTAGTCCCATCTGTGCCACAGTCAGGAACTAATGGCCTGCAGGTGTCAGGTGGGGGGAGGCAGGCCAGGTCGCACCTGTCACCTGTTGGACATGTGGTCAGAAGGGCCCAGGACACAGTTGTACACAGAGCTGGGGTACGTGGGCTTCCTACCTCCAGAGTCTGGGGGCATTGAGGAGCAGAGACCTGTGACCCCCAGGCTCAGGCCCCAAGCAGCAGGGCCCCTCAGGCCCCGGCGAGGCAGGCTCTGCCCCCGTTCCCTGGTCCGTGTGCTCCTCTGGGGTGACCGGGTGGCCTTCTCCCCAGCGGATGTGGCCAGGTCCATGGGGGCAAAAGTAGTGCTCGCCGTCGATGTGGGCAGCCGAGACGAGACCGACCTCACCAACTATGGCGACGCACTGTCTGGGTGGTGGCTGCTGTGGAAACGCTGGAACCCCTTGGCCACAAAAGTCAAGGTGGGGTGGCCCCAGCAGGCTGGGTCCTGCACCCCACCACGACATCCTCCTGTGGGCAGGGGAGGGGGGCAGGAGGGACAAGGTAGACGGGCCTGAAGGTGCCAAGCTCACCAGGGGGAGAGAAAGCCTCCAGGACCCCGCTGGGTGCTGCTTCCTCACCCCCTGGCTCTGAGATGGAAGAGGACTGGGGCTTGGGTCTACTCTGGCCCCGGGCCAGGGCGTGGGACTCTGGTAGCTGCACCCGGCAGGTGCTGAACATGGCAGAGATCCAGACACGCCTGGCCTACGTGTGCTGCGTCCGGCAGCTGGAGACGGTGAAGAGCAGCGACTACTGTGAGTACCTGCGCCCCCCCATCGACAGCTACAGCACGCTGGACTTCGGCAAGTTTGACGAGATCTGCGTGAGTGCGGTGCTGCGGGGGAGGGGCCTCTCCGGACTTTTTCTTTCGAGAGCACGGGAGTGAGGGCTCCCTGCACCTCCTCACGGGGCCGGGGTGTGCGCAGGAAGTGGGGTACCAGCACGGACGCACGGTGTTTGACATCTGGGGCCGCAGCGGCGTGCTGGAGAAGATGCTGCAGGACCAGCCCGGGACCAGCAAGAGGAAGGCGTGTGCCGTGAGTGCTCCCACCTGAGCCCCCGCCCCTCCCCGGTGCTTGGGCTGCTGTAGCCTGGCGGTACGGGCTCGCCTGCCCTCGCCGCGCGGGTGGTGTGGTGGGAGAGGACAGGGTCTGGGTGGAGTGCTCAGGGCTCGGCCCCTAACTCTGGGGGCTTCAGCCCCTGCAGGCAAGCGAGAGCCACAGAGAGGTCACAGAGAGGGCGGGCCGGACCCTGGTGTGAGCGGGTGCCCCGTGGGAGGCAGCTGGAGCCTGCGGGGCGAGGTGTCACAGACACGTGCTGCCCCTGCTGCCCCAGGTCCTCACCTGCCCCAACGCCTCCTTCACGGACCTCGCTGAGATTGTGTCGCGCATCGAGCCTGCCCAGGCCACCTCGGTGGACGGTGAGTTGGCTGCCAGGATGCGGCCTGCACAGCTGAGGGCGGTGGCAGCCGTGGGGCCCTGACACGGTGGGCCAGGCTGGGTCCCCCTGCCCCACACACCGGTCCGCCAGCCAGGAGCACGCGTCGCCGCAGCGCTGGGCCCTCCCAGGCCTCTGGCCTCTCCTTCCCCAGCCCAGCCACACTGCACGCCCGGGGTGGAGCCCCAAGCTGCGCCTGCCAGCTGGCCCGCGGGAGCAGAGCCCCTGCGGGCTGCAGGGCCAGGGAGGCGCGCACACGCGCGCCGTGCCCTGTCCCGCGCGCCCCTGGGCCCGGCGCGGCCCCGAGGCGGGAGGGCTGGCGCGGCCCCGAGGCGGGAGGGCTGGCCCTCCCCACGCCTGCTCCGGCCGGGGGCCCTGGCGGAGGGCGGAGGCGTGGGTGCGGGAGCCCTCTCTGTGGAAGTCGCGCCGGGGCGAGGACCCTGGGGGCGCTGCCGCGGGGGGAGCTGAGCCTGCCGGGCCCTGCCGCGCCTGCGACTCGCTGCTGCCCGAGCGTCAGCCGCGCCGCCGGGCCGCCCTTCCTCCGCAGATGAATCCGACTACCAGACGGAGTGGGAGGAGGAGCTGCCGGGCGGCGCCAGGGACGCGTACGCGGACTTCCAGAGCGGCCCGGCG